CCATGCTTATCGTAAGAGGTGACTAACGGGATCGGGCGGTCAGGCTCGCTGACTCCCGATTGCGTAGATCGATGTTCATGCTGCTGATCACTGGATTGTCTGGTCCAGACTCGATTATTTACAGACCGCCGCCATATAGCCGGAATATTGCTGAGTGCGGCGTTAAACAACCAACCAACCAACCAACCAACCTTTGGTTTTTGGTTTGAGTTTTTTGTTCAATGGACAGGAGGGTTACTATCCTAGACCCCACAGCACAGATCGCCAACACACATCTCTGTTACCCATCTACTTTCCATGGATGACATCGAGCTCCTTAGAAAGGAGACACCAATTTGAAAGAACAGGTTCTCCTTGTCGAGTCCTTTTCTAATAATATCGGTATGACATTTTGACTCGACAAATGCAATACTCTTCATTTGACATGGGGCAGGGTAATAGTAGATCGGTTATGTTACAAGGTAGAGGGGTTATTGAACATCTTAGGCCTTCACCTATCTCTTGTCACAAATACATTTGCTGTGCCAGTCCTTTTCCATTCCTATGGAGTAGTTGAGTGGACAAAGCAAGAGTCTGAGAACAGAGCCTACCTGCTCCTACCTGCCAATCAGTTCGGACGGTCGGGCATTGATTAATGATGAGGAACTTCGTGATAGAATTCGATTGAGTACCTTTGCACATATCTATATATATATATATATGATAATCCTCTGGTGAGGCATGTCAAGATTCATAATGAAAGAAAGGAATTCCACAGCTATTTTATTAAGCGTCAAAGGTTCTAGACAGGATTTTAAAGTTAATGGCGATTTATAGCAGGACGGCGCAGCGCAGGCTGGACGGTACAGTGTCGGCCATGTAAGGATAGACTTTCTTGGAAACAACTGCACCCTGTATATATGCAGTGTTTGGTCATCTATCTCCTTCAAAGAATTTCATGAAGAAACCCAGTTAATGAAATATATGAACACGTCTTCGTGTGGTTTCCCGTCCCGATAAAATGATAGTATGAAGAGATGCGTCATATGGTCACGTTGTGCTGGTAAGGTATACAGTTATGACTAATTCCAGTATATTCGTGGTCGTAGGATTCATAAAAATGACTTCCCCCTGTTTCTCTGAGCTTTCACTTCCGTCTAGCTAACAGACCGCAGTGTGACTGAACTACTGTTCAAAGCCACGTTACATACTAAGATTAGTAAAATATTAACAGGGGAAGGGGTCACGACGCTTTATTTGCAACTATCAACAAAGCCTGAAGTTTGAAAACATATCGCAGTGAAACGCTAATATACAGTTTGAATATTGTGAAGCCATAATGCATTCCCTTTACAATTAGAGGTATTGAAAGGACAACCAGGAACTTGGATTACAACACGGTCGATGTCCAACCTACCTGCCCTATTGGTATATCTATCTCATTATAAGGAACCTGGAGTCAATGATTAGTATTTAGGAATATCTTACTATCTATTAGCTGTAAGGTATACAAATGAGCAGGTGCAAGCCTATAGCATCTCCCATTATTCAAAACCAGCGGTTGTGTACAAATCATGTTTTCACCCTGGTAAACAGTCTGGGCCTATTTTTGAACCTTGACCACAGTTGTTTCTTGAAGGATAGCAATGACGTTAATACTATCACCATTGATATTGTATTTCAGACTACCATTGTAATTACTTTGCCGGAGTTTGTATTGATTTGTAAACGTAGTGGATTTATGATGCAAGTATTAATTAAATAACAATTCCTCGTTATGTGTTAGCTCACGCTGAAGTGTCAACGTATCGTTTCTATTTGGAAGCCGACGTGTAACATTAGAATTAAGACAGCTTTTCTTTTTGTGTCCCTTAGGACGACCTTTAGCGCTATGTGTGCTAAAGGTGCTGTCAGGCCTCGATTTGGGGAATTAGCTATAAGGAGCAAGCCTTGAAACCTTGAAACAAGCAAGGAGGCAGAGCTGTGAGTTCCTGAGTTTATTCAAGCAAGTGTCTTGCATGACATTCAAATTGCATCAATTCATACATAATAATGACATACAATCATAGAAATAATAATCAGTGATATCCTAATACAGTTTATATCTAAGTCAGGTAATATAAGCAATGTGTGGTACAACAGGGTATGTACGGTAACTGCTTACAGAAACATAATACAAATAATACAACCTATCCTTGAGTAACTACGGTACTGATAAATAACATAACCTGACGGATAAATTAATCATCAACAATAATTGCAAAGAACAAGTACTGAGTGGAGCGCCCAACAGTTTAATTACAGCATGTAGTGCCTATAGTTCATTAACTGCTGTGCGGAACGGAACGTTTAATACATCATTATTCAAATACTTATGTTGGTGAAATATCAAAATACAATGTTGGCTGTTGTAACCTATTCTGTGAGCGCGTATATTATTTGATCGGCGGACTATTGTAAAATACAGAGTAACTGACCTACGTATAAATTCATCTTTGCTGGAAATGATTGTATAAACTCGCGGAACTGTTTTTGTGACTAAGCTACTAGAATCTAGGCTACTGAACGGGAATCTAACCTGCATATACAGATCTAACACGCAAACATGAATGAAACTAGACAAGGACTGGGAATACACACATGTGTGTCGAAACATAGAAAAGAAATATTCGTTTGTACATGATAAACATAAAACTTGAGGAGCCCACGACGCACTGTGCATAAATAAATATCCCTGGATAGTGCCTAAGAATTATCGGTTATCTAGAACTAGCATTTACAATGATAGGTATTTAAAAAGTGCTACAATATCGTAGGAATGTTTCAAACCTAACTCTAACATATTCTAGACGATAATTACAAAGAAATAACAAGTGAAACATAAACAAGAATAAAGTTTAAATGTTTCTTACCTTGAAACAAGAAAGGAGGCAGAGCTGTGAGTTCCTGAGTTTATTCAAGCAAGTGTGCCTGAGAAGGAAGAACCCAGGATTTTATACCCCACAGCTCTACTTGTTTGTCATTATCAAGTTTCTATAAAGTTGAAGTTTCCATATGCGTTATCTACCCTATGCTGACAAAGTATACTACACGAGGTAGGTGGTAAGAAGATGATTACCTAACAAGGTTTGATTTTCTTTATGGTGTAGCCACAGTCAGTTTGCGCCAGCTGCTTAACAAAATATCTGACCATGGCATTTACGACAGGACAAAGAGGATGACATGATGGTAATCTCGATCTTGTTCAACAAACGTTGATTTTCGATTACGACTAAGTTGGTGGTAGACATGCTCCTGCTGGGATGGGACTACTTATATGTGCTTGACCAAGGGATGTACCCGAGAAGAAAGGCCGGAGCCGACACAGCTCAATAGCTTCATCTTTGATTAATTAGTTTAAGGTTGGTGTGGATGAGTTTGCTAATTGCCTACTACTGCGCTTGACATGCGGGGCTATAAACAAGATACACTATGCACTGCGACTTGCACGTATACGGATTTTCTTTGTTATGAATAATTTGTGAAAAATATAAAAATGTATGAAGAAATATATGCACTGTAATAGAATGAAACAATACGCAACTGCAGTACCAACACGCAATGACGGTACAAGGAGCGGCGGCTGGTGTCGCCCACCGTATTGGACTTGTTATATAACTGGCCGAGTGTTCATCACACACAGTTATACTCCCAAACTGATGAAATACATATATTTATTGCAATCAAAAGCAGAATCTTTAAAATGCATTATCAGTTTCAAATACATTATCAATCAAGACAACTATGTCAGATGTTTCGTTCGTGCATTTGAATTTAGAGAAAGACACTGTTTAAATGAAATGTACTGTTTGTATTTTCTGTAGTCACACATCAGATCCATGATCGATTGGTTGCATGGCCATGAATGGCTAAACTCAAATAATGCAGTAAATACAGTTACGGAACAACTCTCAGACAACTTGGTCAGTTTTAGATTAACACTAAATACGGTATAACACTTTCGTTTCGATGTCTCTTTACCTACTTTCCTATCTTGTTAAGTACAATTATAACTTTGTTGATCTGACAAACATGATTGTCAACATAGCTCTGCGTTCATGACACATGGTGCTCAACGTGTGTTCGAGGTATCAACCGTGGCTCTTTAATGTAGCCCTTGTTTTTTTGAGAAGTAGAACGTAAGCCTAACTTAACGGTGTTTCCCTTGACGGTTTATAGATACACTTGATATTCCAGTACGTATTCTGTGGAAAATAACAGTAATTATAGCGTTACAGTTCCGAGGGATGCCCTGAGTCCTATAATTACCATATTCTTCATGTCTTCTTCACCGTGTGATATCGCAAGTAAGATGTAGCAACGAACCTGTGTGACGTATATTCCCCGTGTACAATGATAACCGGACGAGAGATATTTTTAACAAAACGCAGACCTATAGCTAATCCCAACAATCTTTAAAAATGTATTCGACAGAAGATCCGTAAGACTAACAAAGGTAAGAAAAACAAAGTCGTATTCTTCCTGGGCGTATCCGACATTCCCTGTGTATGATCATACCGATATTCCTAGGCTCTACTACATTAACAAACAGGTTCCATACAAATGACAAATGTGATTGGAAGTATTGGCATTACTGATACCATTACTACTAATTGTCGGCACTTGTGATGTCAGGGGTTAATGTCATAGAGCCTGCCAAGCTCTCGATCAATAGCACACTCACTGCTAATGCATCCGTAAATTCACCTGCAGTTTGTCACAGCCAAGGCTAATTAAGACACTTAAAGCCAGGCTTGCTCAATAACAAAGCTTGTTGACAAAAGTAAAAGTGTTCCATTCCCTATGTTTACGAAGTGGGCATATACTGTTAATGTATGGAGGCAGTTGTAGTTGGTGGACTTTTATCGAACCATTCATCCTCAACTCTCAGCCAGTGCGCAGGCGGGAGAGTGTCGATGCGGAGGTTTCAGATGTGCTAGTATCATGATGAGACGACGAGGAGGAGGAGGCAGCAGCGTTATTGACCTGGCAACGCATCACTATGGATGTGATTATTAAACATGCGAAGAACTTTCCTAGAAAACAACGCACATTTTGAGTTCATACCCGACGTAAGTAAGTTTTGTTCTATTTTCAATCATATGTAGATATTCAAATATACATTTCAAACTTACGACAAGGCAGGTTTATATCTTGTATATGGAGACATCACAGAATCTGGATTCAGTTTACTGAAGTAGTTAAATGCTTAACCTGTTGACTAGATGTACATGGCTTTCTGTATGTCTCTATGTTTTATTTGAATGACGAAGTCTCTAAACCAATTGCAGTGTATAATCCACGCATAAAATATGTCACTGTTGTATAAATTTATCAAATGTTATTGCTGTTGTAAAATCGCTTGTCTCGATGAATATACATTCAAACTGATACGTCAGGAGCACTACGGAATTGTATGTTTCGTGCTATTGAATATTCATTACAAATAACCCATATATTGTACCATTTAAAACTATGTGCCTTATATTTATATTATATAATCCATTGTATGTCGGTTAAAACAGATTATCAACTTTTCGAATTGGTAATTTTCTTGTTGACGTGAAACAGTACACCTATTGAAGTGTCGCAGAATCTCAAGGGAATGTATTTGTAATGAATACTCTTCCTGGCTTGACACTCACAGATGCAGTTCTCTTTGCTATTTTACAAATTGATAATACACACTGAACAACGACGCAATGAATTCCAGTTGAATTAGCTTTGAGACCGACGGGTCGGCCTTGTACACAATGTAATTCTCAGGCGTAAACGTCTTCAAAAATTATACATTGAAATGGTGACGGGATATAATGAATGTTTTATTTTTCTGGCGATGTTTCAACGTGCGACTGTATGGGGGATTTTTACTTTAAGAGAGAAAATCTATTGAGACCCTTCCCTTCGAAGCATTCTGTTTAACAGATTAGACAGTAAACATCTTTACATCCGTCAACAAAGTACCATCTTAATGGTTGTTGAGTCCGTCTATCATGTCATATCTATTACATTTTAATGTGATGGCATTTCATTCAATGAACTGTTTTATCAGGTTTCACGAGACCAGTACCATGTGTACACAGACATTTCTCTCGTATATTCCGATCAATTATCGCTGTTGTTTTCTATTTCATGCTCGTTTTAAGGGAAACAAAAACGTAATTCTATGTTGTCTAAGCGTACGTATAGGAAGAGACACCAAAGTAGTCTTATCCGTGGAAAGATCGAAGATTACTTTATCCCAATTTCTTGAATAAATATCATGTATTGAATATGAAAGTGCAATGTTCCTTCATCATTTTGCACCTGGTTTAGTGATTGGTATTATTATGGATAAACGCTGCCTCTATTGTTATAAGCGAACATGCTGAAATTGTAGGGCGGTCTAATCATCTTTAATCTGAACTAGGTTTCTCAAAGAGAACATTTGTAAGAACAAAGCATGTGTGGGGGTTAAATCCACCATGAGCGGTAATCAGTCCGTCAATCTTCCAATCGATAATATCGATCACAATCAAGACCCACGCACCATAGCGAGCAAAGAAGAAGGTATAGGGTGTTCAGTAAATCTGCCCGTAACTGGTGAGTTTATTGACTTTATGATTTTATAATTCCATTAATGAGACAGATGTTGTGGCACAGCTTGCTCGTTGGGAAGATGGTTTCCGATGTTCTGTTTTGCCTGACGGTGTTGTCGATTTCAGTTATAACATGACCTTGTGTATATCTCATCATGTGTCGACCAAGTGCTAATGTATTGACAGAGAATTGAACAAAACGTTAGGCATTAAAATGGCAAGGGATCTTAGGAATGTTAGCTTCAATGTTGATATGGCAGCAAATGCAATGACGAACTTTGAGAGTAACGTGAGTTTGTGACCTTAAACAGAGCGTTGACAGGGGTGTTAATTTCAGTCGAGGAGCGATGTGGTAGTATTTGAACACTGTGGTACTTCACATAGCACGGGGGGCGGTGGGGTAGCCTAGTGGTTAAAGCGTTGGCTCGTCACGCCGAAGGCCCGGGTTCGAATCCCCACATGGGCACAATGTGTTAAGCCCATTTCTGGTGTCCCCGCCGTGATATTGCTGGAATATTGCTAAAAGCGGCGTAAAACTAAACTCAGTCAGTCACATAGCACGGACGTGGTGTTGATCATTGTCGCAGGTTTGTTGACTTAAATCAAGTAGCGATTCGGTACTTCTTGAACGTTATGGAACATAATTATATCTCATGTCTGTCGGATTGCTGGTTTCAATCGAGGAGCGACTTGGTACTTCTTTAACGTTGTGCAACTTAATTATAACTAATGTCTATAGGGCTGTTAATTTCAACTTGGAACTTCTTTAACATTGTCTTAGTAAAGCAGTCAGTATTGATACGGCACATACTTAGAACGACAGAAACTGGAAAGCATTTGAGATTTTCCATTATGTTTTCGAAGATATTTTCAAGGGATACTGCAAGGGGGCATACTTGGGCCGTTGGTGTTTTTAACGTTTTATTAACGATATTTGTTACTATCTTGATAAGTCGCTGTACAATTATGCGGATAAAACACTTGATAAAAATCCCACTGTGCTCAAGTATAAACTGGAACATGAACAGTCACTCAAATGGTCTGTCAGCAACCAGGTAATAACCACAATGACTTATTACATAGGACTCAATCTTGTGGAGAGTGCTGGAAACTGACTCCACCATGAATCAACCGATCCCAGCTTTTTAAGTTCTCTCTGTCTCCTGATACCTTCCTCGTCATCGTTTCACGAAGTCATTTCTGAGAGTAAATTAGGTTTTGTTTTATATACTAAGCAGCAAAAGAAACGTCAGTTTGGAATCTTCCTTTGCAGAAACGGATAACTGTAAACTCATTTAATGTTTTGATTGTATATTTTTGACAATATCTCCAACTTTACCTGAGCAAAGACATTCCTTCCCAAACTCAGAACTGAACCCAGGAAATGATCTCAAAAACGCAACCTGATATCGGAGATGGTACGATGATCTCCATGTTTTTCATGCAACTCATGCTGCACGTGCTGTTCACAAGGACCAGCCCTATAAAATGCACCCCCAAACCTGGTTGAAACATTCACATTACAACGTCAGCAGGATGCCACGACTCACGACAGCTCAGAGGAACCAGGCGCTAGGAGGCGTGAAGCTGGCCACACTGCACAAGCCGTTGCCAATCACTTCCAGGTCAACATTCGGACTATCTACAGGCTGCAGCAACATTTCCGGGGCACCAACACCACAAATTATCGCCCCGTACTGGCTGACCAAGGGTCACCACAAGACAACAAAACCGCCATGTTGTGCGACAGCATGTACAGAATCCTTCATGCAGGCATCTAAAACAGCACGCCAGACAGTGGGAACACACGGAAGACCAATCAGTACTGAAACAGTACGCCGACGTCTTAACAGCGGGAACTTCCATTGCCGTAGACCTTACCGTGGACCTATCCTCACCCCTCGTCATCGGCGTGAACGTCTACAGTTTGCCCTACAACACCAAAACTGGCGATACAGGCAATGGAAAACTGTTCTGTTCACAGATGAGAGTCGGTACTGCGTATCAACTGCAGATGGCAGAACAAGAATATGGCGACGACGTGGCCAGCGTTACTCAGACCAATGTGTTATGGAAACAGACTCATGGGGAGGTGCAAGCATCATGGTATGGTGTGGAATAGGCCTGAACCAGAGAGTGGATCCTGTGGTGTTCCAGAACCTTGGTCCAGGGAGAGGAGGCGGCATCACAGCGGTGCGCTACATCGACCAAGCTCTCAGACCCCACGTCATACCACATTTCGCACATCACCGGAACAACATTTTCCAGCATGATAACGCCCGGGCCCATACTGCCAGAGCTACACGGGACTTCCTACAGCAGAACGGTGTTAACATTATGCTGTGACCAGCCCTTAGTCCTGATTTAAACCCAATTGAACATCTTTGGGATGAAATTCAGAGGAGACTGAATAATGTCATACCAAGGCCGAACAAAGCCGATTTCTTGCGCCAGGCCTTTCTCAGAGTGTGGTTCCAGGTGCCAATGGCCTTCATCAATCGATTGGTGCACTCCATGCATAGACGCTGTGCTGCAGTTATTGCTGCTCGTGGTGGTCACACTAGATACTGAAGTCAAGAGTCTGAATGGACTGTAAACATTCACGTAATGTCTTGACATTGTGCTGAGTTATTCATTGATGTGTCAAGATATTGTACACAAAAACTGGTTTTGATCCGCTTATTATGTCCATTTCTGTAATGATTTGATTACAGTGCCTATCTAATTTTGAATTCGTACTGACGTTTTTTTTGCTGCTGAGTATATTTCTTGTTTCACGTATTCTGTTTTGATAAAATAATGTTATAAATCATGTTCTTCGTGTTATACTATCCGGCGTTAATTAAAGCCCCTTGTTGCGTGCATCGTGTAGTGACATAAGTAACTCTTCGCGCCATTGAAGACGTATGAGGATACTGTAGTACAGACCTTCCTTTAACCGCGTATACTGAAGCTATAGTATAGTGGTCTCTCTACTTGGACACAGTTGCTATATTCAACTCCTAGATCTGTCAGGGCGTTAAAGCAATAGGCAACACATTCAACGTCCATATTAGAAGATGCCCTGCAAGGTTCCGCCGATCTGTTCAGCCTTAAGGGTCAGTGAAAGTGATCACAGTAATGGCTGTCGGTAAGACATTTGATGTGATATTGTTAATGTATGTGGAACATGTATTGACACTGTGTGTAAAGATGACGTTTTTTACGTCGGCGTACAACAGGATGACGAACATTCTCATTTTCACCCATGCTTTTCTTGTAAAGGGGGAACATGGGCATTCCTTGTCAATGTCAGTTTAACATGTCATGCATTATAATCAGATTATGTGGATACTGGTTTAATGCGTCTTGCAGTAAAACACTTTTTACTCAAGTCCACGATCATCCAATTCTTGCATTCTGGAAAGAAATATTTTGACAGAGTTAGATTCTATTTTAAGCAAGGAGTTTTTCCTAGTTTATCTGTGATATGTAACGTGGCATTTTGTGATACT